CCTAGAACTCCAAACTGTCAAAACAAAACTTAGATTTTTTAAATAAATGGTGAAAATATTTGAGTCTGTATGGACTGTACTCCATGATTTCTAGTTTGTTGGCACACACACACACACACACACACACACACACACACACACACACACACACACACACACACACAGAATGGACGGTTTGGGTCGCTCTAACTGGTTCCCTGCAGGGATGAGCAGAGCGATGATGTCACGTGTTAGATCATCTAGAATACAGTCATCACCTAAAGGTCGTTGACCTCAGATGTCATTAAACAACACAAGCATCTCTTCCCCCTCCGGCTGAGACAGTTTCCTGTTCTTCATCAACGAGGAACAGAAAGAGTTTTAGCCCCTTAGTTTTTTATTGGAACCTAATGTTCACACATTTTGTGCATGTGTGTTTGCCATACCCAAAGCAGTGGGAGCCGACCCTGTTTGTCTCTCAAACCACTGGATGGATTTTAATTAGACGCTCAGGAAGTGATCGTCAGATGTTCGTCTGCAGCTGAACAACGAGATGAGTCATCTGAGGAAACCTAACAATGACTTTAACTCGGTGGGTTTAGCTGAGTCATGTTTGCTCCTCGGGGTAAAACAGGCGGCTAATCGGGCTCTCAGAACCTTTTCTGCAGCCTTCTGTGGAGAGGAATGAACAGTTTGTATCTTACCTGTAGACAGATAGCTAGCCTGGGTCTGGAGGAAAAGAAGAGCTAAAATATAAAACACGTTTCTTTGGTTATCGCAGCAGAAGTTAGCTGCAGAGCTAGCTACCGCAGCACCTCTCCCTGCAGTTTCATCATTCTGGGGCAACGTAAACATTTTAACTCTGCAGATTGTTTAAGACGTTCTGCATGTGGCCCCTTTGTGACCAGATGTTAGCTCATCTGTCAGGTCGGAGACACGTGGGTGTAGATTCCCATGCATCCACCATGCGGCAACCCCAACTTGACCTTTCACCTCAGCGCCTTGTGGTTTTTATCTTGAGAGGCGCTATAGAAGAGATCCTCTTCTTCTTCTTCTCTCATCCAGACAGGAAATCGAGTCCTTATCTGAGATGCAGATTTCATTTAAACGTTATTGCTTTGACCGTTTCCGTGTTTATTTTTGGGGGAGCAGCACAAACTCAGAGTTTTCGAGCGCAGAGACGGTTGCACGTGTGTGAGGTTGTGTGTGTGTGCAGAAACTGCACTTGTTTACACGTCAGGAGGAAGAGGATGGTGAAACGGGGCAAATCAGTAAAGACGATTGTTATGAGAGATGAATGATCTTGTACAACATGCTTCAGTTGGAGCCGCGTAAAGCTTTAGCTAATACAGAGATGAAAGGGTTAACCTCTGAGTTAAGAGTCAGATTACATTTCTAACATTTGTTGAAGTTTGTCACTTCTAAGTTGAGTAATCTGACCACAACCTTCCTTTCTAGTGCGATTTCATAAAAGTGTGTGTGGCGTTGTGTGATTTTTGAAGCAGGGTTAGGGTGCTTCAACAGGCTTAGTGTGGGCTGGGGGGGGGGGGGGGGGGGGGGTGCACAGATGCAGTTTAGGGAAAATTACAGACAATAACGGCTGACCTGGGGGTCGTTGTGTGCAGCATGCACTTAAGCGTGACACAAAGCTCTTATTAAAGCTACACACACCCAAAACTCACACTTAGCATGCAGGCAGCACATGTTAAACCAACAGAAAAGCACCTTGGGGAGGCTGAAATGTTTGAGAGCAGAAACGGATCTGCAGCTCTAAACAACAGCTAACTAACCGCCATTACTGTGTTATTTACCTGAATCATGACTATGAACCAACTCACAACATCTGCAGCCTGGCAGCTCACACCTTCTCACACACCTACATGCAGATTTAATCACACACCGGTCACATGAGGTCACTTGAGCTGCACCCCCCATCCCTGCAGAAGCAGCGGTGTTGCACACGAGGGTCCCTTTCCTGTTGATAAGACAGAAAAAGCACCGTTACACATCAGGTCGTGAACACATAAACGGAGGAAATGCAGAAACGTTCAGTCTCCCATGTCTGCGTGTCTAATGGAGGGGCCCCCGCTGGTTCCTGTGGCCCCCTGGAGGGCAGGAAGCAGCTAATGACTTGTTTAGAAGCAGATTATTTGTTTAGGTGACACTGGAGAATTATTTTTATTAATAATTAGTGTCTGAGACGTCGGACATGAATGACAATTAGAAATTAGTGGGCTGAAAGCGTGGGGGGGGGGGGGGGCACAAAGAAAACTAAAATCTTATTTATCTGGAAAAAGCTCTTTGAACGGCCTCAGTGTGGTGAAATAGAGTTTAATAAATGAGGTCACGTATTCAGGCCAGCACTGAGTCTTGGGTCTGACGTTCCAGAAAAGCACCAGGCTCGTTGGGAATTCTGGGATTTGCTCTGAAAACAAACATCAGCCGGATCAGGAATGCTGATTTTCAACCAAATCAACATTTTCCCAAATCAGCCGACTTCAAAAACAAACGTTGAACCTTCAAATTTCATTCTGGTTATTGATTAACCCATTAACCCTTCACTTGTTTTATTATTAGCATTAATATTATACACGTTTTAAGTATTTATATGTTTTTTAGGATGTTTTATTTGGTTTTTCACTGCTGGGTTCATGTTTATTAAGACTAACTACCAAGTGGTTGAGCTGCAGTTAAGGGGTTAAAGTTGCAGCTGAAGATCCAGGCTTTCATTCCCCGCTGGGTCCTTTCTGTGAGGAGTTAGCATGTTTCTCCTGCACACGCATCTCCCGTCTCCTCCAACCAGAGTCTCCATCCGGCTGTTCCGTCTCACCGACGACGACGACGCTGCAGAAGCGCTCCAGCTTCTGACCGCCCTGCTGCTCTGTGAAACCAGAACAGACTGTAAGAGCGTAGCTGCACTTCCGTACTAATCCAGATGCATGTCTTCCTCCCTCTAGCCTGAAAGTGGACGTGTGTGCGGCGGTGAGCGGCGTCGGGATCCCCGACTCTGTAGGTGAGCAGCTTCATGCAGCAGAGGTTCCCTAAAGGAGGAGAATGAATCACAGGCAGGACTGGTGGGGAATTACGGCTCCGTCACACAAATAAAAGAAGGAGGAGTATAAGGAACACAGACCGTGGTATCACAGTGGTTCTCTGCAGAGCTCACACCCACACAGAGCTGCTGGTGGAATTATCGGATCAGAAGGGGAATCGGAGTCGAGTTTGAACTCTGATTCAGTTTCCTCTGTTGCCGTCCTCTGTCCAGATCTGAGGGCAGACCTGCAGCTGGATTGGCTCAAAGGTATCAGGGGTGGAGTTAAGAGAGTTCTCTTCCTGGATACCCAGCAGCCTCAGCGCATGGGACTCCTGAGGCTCGGTCGCAGCCGCCCACGCGCGTGTCTGGGCTACATCTTCTACCTGAAGGTAACGGCATCTGATGCCTCAGCAGGAATCCGCTGGACCATCTGAACCAACACCTTGTTTGGTCTTTCTCTGCAGGAGGACGATGAGTTCAGGGACAAACTGACTCCCATCTCACTGGCCCTAAACTACAGCCTGACTCCGCCTACTTTTGACCAAACACTCCCACCTGTTCTCAACCAGTACAGCAGCACCTTCCTGCAGGAGCAGGTGTGGCTGCACGTTCTAGATCAGCATGTGTCAGGGAAGGGTTTCTGCTCCAAGACCTGGTCCAGATAGATGGATGTGTGGGAGCTGTGCAGCATCACGCTGCCTGTTACTTCATCCTCAGTACTATGGGGATGAAGCATCACACTTTCATCAACCTTCTCTCGTTTTTGCTGTTAGGAGAACAAATTACAGCCAAAGAAGCTGAAAAAACAGATTTTATGTCACAAAACTGTTTGTTACATCGTCTTCAGGGACAAAGCACCGGCTTCCCCTCGTGCTGCGCACATCTGGGGGGTGGGGGGTGGGAGACCAGACACTGCAGTCCAAAGTCTGTTTTTTTTAATTGAGCCTCTTTTAAAAACAACTGGATTTAGTTGACATCAGTAAAATCCTGCAGAAGTATTAGAAACAGGCTGCAGAACATCTGACGGGTGATTAATTTCAGAGGGATCGTGCACGGCAGCAGCAGTCTGAAACATCAGCCCAGATGTGGGCTCTTTTCCAGGAATGTTGCTAAAAACTTCCTGCTGCTCATATTTGAGTGTACATGTGTACGATCAGCCCTCAGATGCTTTACGAGAGCCTTAATGAAGGTCCCTCGCGTCCCAGGCTACAGCTAACCTCTCCTGATAAAACAGCCCAGCCCGGATCACAAATCTAATCCCGGGACGAGTTTTAGCCACGAGCAGCACAAGGTGAAATAAAACCATGTAGATGACGAAGAGGAGTCTGTCTGCAGCTCTGGGTTACTTTTACTCTATTTATTGATTTGTGGAACAATCCAGATGGGAAGTATGCACCTTCTGATTGCTCCTCCACTTGGAGAATGTGTTAGAATAAACAAAAAGACCTTTTAAAATTTCCAGAGCCAAAGTTTGGAGTTCATTTTGGATTCCTCTTCTGCAACATGTTCATGTACTTTGTTTTTTGTAAGTTAGCTGTCTTTTATTCTCAAACTCCTTTTTTGGTCTGCTGCTTTCCCACGTACCCCTCATCCTCTCAGGCTTACATCCTCCTGGACTGCGGCGACGACAACGTCTGCATCCCTGACCTCCAGCTCTCTGCCAGCATGTAAGACTCCCACATTCCTGCCCT